TGCCTAACACCTTCTCCCAGGTTAACAGAATTCCTTATCCGGATTTCTGGTTCGCGGACTGTTCAATAGAGTCAATCTTTTCCCCAATTCGGGATTCAACCGGTGACTTGGGACACCACAAATCTCCCAAGTGGCAACTCTAAATTACATAAACAAATCCCGTTTCGATTGTCCTTTAATTGGAAAAACTCCCTTATACCCTTAGGGGTAGGAAAAATGAGGTGTGACAGAGGTTAGGCTTGGCACTTACTGAGTACCGTTGTAGTGTACTCATGCCCTTTCTACACATGTTTTTCATGTGCAGATCCAGGTACTTCGACTCAGTCCTACCACCCTTGAGGCGAGGAGTCTGCTCTAGAGACTTCGAGGTATATCTGCCGCGTCTGTAGACCGAGGAGTCCCTTTGTATTCTCGCTTTTAAGTACTAGCCATTCTGTATTTCTTTTCTTTGTTAGATATTTCGGAGTTAGACACTGTTAGGTATTTAAAGGCTTGTGGTTTCATGAGATTTTGGGTTTTGGGAAAGTGTATTAGCTTTTGAGAAGTTGTACTGCATATGCCGAGCGGCATTTTAAATACTGTTTTATTCGGTTATTTTGACTTTTAATTATTCTTCCGCAAGTTTTGTTTATTTTCCACGCTTGTTAGGCTTACCTAGTCATAGAGACTAGGTGCCGTCACGACAGTTCACGGAGGGCGAACTGAGGTCATGACACCTACTCATGTCTTGCCATCACGTGTTTTTTCGCGATTTTCATGTATTATAGGGATTGTCCAGAGAACCGGCTCAGGTATGTTAAGGCTATCCCTTCTTTCTTTTTTGCATGATCTATATGACACGAACGAAACGAGCAAATGCACAAATTCCATAAATGACTCTATTCATAGAAGTATTAGAGATGTCTATGTTCTTGAATTCTCATATGTCTTATTATTCTATCATCTGTTCATGGGTCTCAGAAAATACGTAAGTTGATAAAGTTTGTTTCATGATATTAATCAGAGGTATAATGGTCTTATGACGTACCGAGAGGTTTTATTGACGTACTTCTCATGCATTATATTCATTTATACATGTACATTGACCCATAACCAGACGACATTATATACGCATATGTATGTATATATAAATATGTGTATATATATATATATGTGTGTGTGTGTGTGTGTGTGTGTGTATATATATATATATACACGTGACGGTCTTGCCGTGACGTATTTTGTCACGATTGTCATATGTTAGAGGGATTGTCCGTAGAACCGACTCAGGTATGTTAAGGCTATCCCTTCTTTCTTTTTGGCATGATCTATACGACATGAATGACACGAGCAAATGCACAAATTCTATAAATGACTCTATTCATAGAAGTATTAGAGATGTCTATGTTCTTGAATTCCCATATGTCTTATTATTCTATCGTCTATTCATGGGCCTCAGAAAATACCTAAGTTGATAAAGTTTGTTTCATGATATTAATCAGAGGTATAATGGTCTTATGATGTTCCGAGAGGTTTTATTGACGTACTTCTCATACATTACATTCATTTATACATGTACATTGACCCATGACCAGACGACATTATATATGCATATATATATGTATGTGTGTGTGTATGTATATATATATATATATATATGGGATATGGGAAAAGGTTACGGCATTATATACGCACCACCACCGGATCAGCTGGTATATGTTGATGATTTTGCCCACAATGGCCTAGATGATATGATGGGATGCCCTTAAAGGCTTGATGATGTTACGAACACATGTACTTATGAAAGACATGACATTCATACTCATATGCATGACACTATAAGCATTTTGTGATTTACAGAGTTATCCAGACTTACAGGTTGAGTCATTTACTCCATGTTCTTCCATGTCTTTTATATACTTATTTATGTGCCTTACATACTTGGTACATTATCGTACTAACGTCCCTTTTTCCTGGAAACGCTGTGTTTCATGCCCACAGGTCCCGATAGATAGGTCGAGAGTCCTTTAAGTTGGCTATCAACATATCGGAAGATGTTGGTGCGCTCCATTTGCTCCGAAGTTGCCTGTTTGGTCAGTATGATTTAGACGCGTATTGTTTGGTATGGCAGGGCTCTGTCCCGACCTTTATGTTAAGTATGTACTCTTAGAGGCTTGTGGACAGATGTCTTGTATACGTATGCGTGTATGGCCTTGCCGACCTATATTTTGAGTTTACAAATGATCATTTTGTCCTTATATGCCCGTATATCACATGTATAAGTTTTAATATCAGGTTGGTTCGTCCTATATTTAGTATTCCTCTATGTTCATTCCGGTTGGCAATGAAAGTACAATAAGAATGATATGTTATGTTGGTACTCGGATGAGTAATGCACCGGGTGCCCATCTTGGCCCGTCGCTTTGGCTCGTGACAATCAGACTCCTAATCACTCATCTTTTACCCCAGACTCGAAATTGAAGACTATGGTTAGAATCTTACCTTTTGGATGAATATCTAGTGATATTTCTTGTTGAATTTCAAGGCTTGAGCAATATTTTGATGAATAATTAGCTAGATCTTCTCTTTCTCTCTAAGATACTCTCACCTCTCTCTAAAAATATCAGATGAAACCCTTAAAAATGACCACCAAAGCCTGTTTATAAAAATGGGATCGAATATAATTTTTCAGATCTTAAATTGTACGAAATCGGGTCTGCGGTCGCAGACCTAGCCACATAATCAATCTGCGGCCCTCAATATGGCCACAAAATATGATACCCAGAAACTGAACCAATCTGCGACAATTCTGTGTTCCACAGACATGTTCTCCGACCGCAGAATCACCTTCGAAATTTGTCATGTTGGTTTATGCGATGAATTATGCGGCTCGCGAAACCATTTTGCGGTCACATAATTGACTGCAAAATGTCATCTAAAATTCGCCCAGTTTTCTACTTTACTTTGTGGCCGATATGCGACCGATGTGCGGCCTGCATAATGATTCTGCAGTTGCAAACTTGACTGCAAAATTGCTTTCCTCAGCCAAAATTTTCCATCAACAATTTAGTGCATTCTTCAACCCAAAAGGCTCGCCGTGAGAAATTTTTATAACCTTTATACTCACTAGTCTACCTCGTCACCGCAAAACCTTAAATTCCTTACTGAAATTTTTCGGGGCCTTATATGATTACTACCCACATGGAGGGTTTTTTAAGTGTTTACACTTATCCCTTACGTTGGGCCCCTTGGACTCGGTCATCATCGCCTTTTGTAAGTGATACGAGGTGATCCTCGGTCAAATCCATCCTTCTTTCTGGTGGAATAGTAATTCTCCTCCGATTCTTCGTAAGCAAAATTGAGGGGTTTCCCTTTACCCTCGAACATCTTATGCGCCTGTACAGTCCCCGACTCTATCAAGGGGGATTAATAAAACATGCCCGTCGGCCAGTAGGGCCCCATTCTCAAGTATAGACGAGGACCAGGACCGAAGTTCGTTGGGCCGATTCGCTCGAGTGAAGACCTCGAATTTAATCCCGCCGAGGACATGCCATTTCCCGAGAAATAGAACATGAAATGTAAGTATAACCTTGCCTTAAATATTTCGTTTATTGTTTTTCCTTTTTTCCTCCTTTCTTATCGGCATTTTGTGGTGCAACCATCTCTCGGATATCGGATGCAGTTCCTCGACTCAAGGATTGGGTCGAGGGCTTCGTGTCACAAAAACCATATTCCGAGCGCGCGTGGAGAAAACTCTCGATGGGCCGGTGGGAGGCCCATTCCAATGGTAAGTTTCTTTTTTGAGCTAATAATATTCGATTCATGCTGTTGAGTTATTATTTGTTCCGTTTTCTTTTACAAGTCATCCCAAGGATGTTGCCATGAGGCTTTCATCCAGTGACGAGGATGTGCATGTCGAGTCCCCTGCTCCAAGATAGAGTGATGAAAAGAAAAGGAAGATGGTCCCGAGTTCTCCCAGCTCGGAAAAGAAAAGAACAAAAAGAAGCTCGGTGCGTACATCTAAGGGTAGCACCAGTGCTCGGGCGCCCTCTTCGGACTCACTTCATCGTTTGAGGGATGATCCAGAAGAAGAAGAAGAACCCTCCGAGTTGGTGCCCCGTGTGCGGTCAGGGCTCGAGGTACGAGGGGGCCCCAAACTGGTGAGAGCTGAAACTGGATTACCTCGACTCAGGGAGGCCGATGAGGGAGGTTTAGCCGAAGCTTCCAAACCGGAAGGAGGCAAGGCTGCTTTGCCTTGAGATAGGGAGGTCGATAACGCGAGATCGTAGTCAGTTCTTCCCGGACAGTGGATCAGAAAGACATGCCGACCTGGCCAAGCAGGTAAGAAGAATTTTTGCAGTTAGTGATGCCGAATCAGACATTGTGACTAACGGTCCGAACCCACAGGTCCAACAGAACATTGACAAGATCGGAAAGCTCCGTGAAGAGGTAGATGTGGTAAAGGCTGAGGCCGAAGAATGGAAAAGGAACATGGATCGCCTGGCCTCAGAAAAGGAGATCGCCCGGGCCCAACTAACTTTGCACTACAACAAAAAAGTCTTTTAGGGTAATTAAATAGCGGCAATAAGCTAATGGCTAGTAAATAATTCCAAAAATCCAAATGCTAACAGCAATTGTGAATCAGCCGGTATTGCATACCTTTTTACTGGCAATAAAAATGAATGACCACTAAAAGACATTTCTTGAAAGCTGTTAGTTAATATTTTAGCTTTCCCTCCAGTTATTTTCACTAAAATCACCCATTCCCTCCAATTTTAATCAACAACTAAGTTCAATAAATTTGGAAAATATTTCAAAAATACAAACGAAGTTTGTCATTGCAGTTTCCCTCTTCTTGTTATTGCTGGTCACCATCCCAAAATAAAGGCTTTTTTCGTCGCCACTGCGCCTTCTCTGTCGCACTGTTGATGGCCACCATCTATCCATACGTGAATACTCTCATCATCAATGCTTGCCCGCTTCTGACTAACTTTTCTCTGTCTCGCCATCACTGGCTGCTATTTCATGGTAAGACAATTGATCTTCTTTTTGGCTTTATTGAGATGATTAGGACTGTCTGATAAGTATGAATGGAGAAGATGACGATTGTTGTCCCACATATCCAACACCTTTTTTGTAGTTAGTTCTAATATTTTATCTGTAAATTATTGAGGGTAATTGGATCACTCCTTATTACTTGATGTGTGTTATTAATTACAGGTTAGGGAATTAGGAATATGAATTTGGAGAGAGGCGAGAGAATGGAAAGAAAGAGAGTTTGTGTCAAATAAAGGTGCTACATTTATAGTGAATCCTTTGGACAAGAAGTATATTATGAAAGGTATAGGATTATTTTATGAACATGGTATGTCTATTCTTTCCATTTAAGAGAACTGGGTCTCACTTTTCTTTGATTTTTGATTGGTATTGTGGCTTTAATGAGGTTTATCATGATTGGAATGAAGGCTTTGAAAACATTGGAACTCTCACTTTAGTAAAAGTTTGATAGGTATATATAAAGTAGTGATATTGGTGTAGCATAATAGATGGAGGAAACAGGAAGAAAAATATCACAAATACAGTTGCTTGGAACAATATCACATTTAAAGCACATAGATATTGAAGAAAAAAGGATGGGGTACAGCACAACTCACATTGATTTATCTCTATAGAGTAATTTTATCTCTTCATTTATCTGCTTCTTTCTCTACTTCTTAAATAACCTAGCTTTTTTATTTTAACTTCGACTTGAATCTAAACACATACTTTTCGGTTCATTTTCTAGATGTCTAGTAACTAGGCCTAATGGTACAAATATTAGTCTACATAGCAAAATATGCTCAAGCAAGTTGTCGTGCAGCACCCATAATTTATTTATGAGGGCGTTCCATCCGCATATGACAAGATGAAAAGGATAGTTATTCCTGATGCACTCAAGTATTAGTTTACGCATAGTATTATTGTTTCTTTTTATACTAAAGTTACTACCATCCTCTCGTGTAGCTAGGGTATTGAGGCTTGAGGCAGGACACACATACTGCTTTGAGCAAGCTTTCATCAGAGGTTGGATGGAATTATTATGACACTATCATGGTAAGTTTCTTGTATCTTGTTTTTTATTTATTATACATTTATTCTCTCTAGTTAGTTGTTGTATTACTTCACAACTAGAATCAATGGAGCAACATATAGCAGTTGTTAGCTATTTCTTGTTAAATAGTGTTCTTGACTTTATTTTCATGTATTTCTTACCAATATGAAAATGTAATTTTCTGCTCCAAGCAGCACGTGGAGTTCCTTTTCTTTCTACTTAAACGTTTTTCATGTAAAAATGAGCTCCGATTCATATTTCTAAAAAAAATTGTAAGACGAGTTTTCATACTTGTAGTCTATAATTATAACTGAAGTCTCAGTTTTCTATTAAAATATCTGACTTTTGATGGTGACTTCTCCTTTGTTTGTGATAACCACAGGATCTTGAGAATAAGAGAGCTCAAGCAACATATGAGAGGAGAAGTCAGTTAGCAAAACAAGCAGTACAAGCACCATGAATGCCATTTCAAACTTCAAAGTAACAATTCCTTTTCCTTTTTATATTTGAATGTATATATTGTTAATCTTTGTTCCTGAATTGTTGAGAACTCATAGGACACAATTAATATGAACTATGCAAAATAGGTTCTTTTTTGCTAGTAATTTCTACCTTATCTTTAAGAAAGGTAAAAGTCAATGTGCTGCTAGTGGTCTTTATATCTCGTGATGCTAGTCTTAAAGATTACAAGTTGTTCTATCTTTTTGCTTGCTGGACTAGTTCTTTGGTTGAACCATTACTATTGTCTGTGGATGTGTGATATAATATCTTGGTCATGACTTTCATTATTCACCACTTTCCTTTTTCTTTAGCTAGTCTCTGTTGGAAGATTTTTTATTTTAATTTGGTTGAAATGGCAATACATGAATTCCTAAATATTTTTGTTTGTTTACCAACTGGTTGGCTGCATTAGGGACTTTCGAAATGGCATTTTACAAGATAGATAGTCCTGATTCCAAAGATATTGATCAAACCTTAAGTATGTTGATTCGTCTGAACGAGAAGATATTGAGGCTTCTCTCACACGTATAAATTCTAAAACCTAGACAGTCCCTCAGCACCTTCACCACAAAAAAATACCATCAATAATTTTTTTTAGTTCCTTTATCAGAAATTCTTTCCAGCATCTTTTGTATAACCTTAAGTATTAATCAAGTGAGGACCACCTAATTTTTTTGCAGGTCACGTGAACTTGATATTGAGAGGAAAATTTGAAAGTTTTTACAAGAGAAGATATAGAGGTACAAACAATCGATTTTTTCCGGTGAATTTCAGGAAGTGTATGTTCCTTTTTCTATTAATAAGAAGGCCTTAATTCTTGTTAACACACTAGTGTAAGGAGAGATTACGTATATTAGCATTTTATTTGTAAGTATCGGTGTGACACAAGCTTTGGTACCTATCTTCGTGTGCACGTTTAATAGTAAGTAGATGAGTAAAATCTCGAAAATGGATTAAAAATATCACCTTTGCATCCTTGTCGGAACATTGGGTTTTGCACATTTCTCTAGTCTTCTTTCTTTTTCTAAAAAGAAATGTGAATACGTCCATTCTGCTCTTGTAGGCGAAAATAGCAAGTACTCCACATGTTTGTGCTATCTCTTTGTTGGATTGCTATTGTTAAATACAGATAGACTTAAGAAAACTGCAACATTAATGAAAACCATTGAGACAAATCTATCTTTTGAGAAACTTCTTGTTCACTTGTTTTAATGGTATTTTGTAGTAGCACTTCCTTAAAATGCTAGTATAAGCGTATAAATGTCACGCAGATGATTTACTACCTATTGTTGAACATCATATGTGGTTGTCATACAGTATGATATTCAAAATCATCGCTCATGGAAGATTTCATTATGATCAAGAGTTGGAGAATCTTTCTTATGTCGCTTATTGTATACAGCTATTTGATAAATAATTCATTAGATTCTAAATGACACTAGTTATTAGATTCAAATAGGTTAGTGTTTTTGTTATGTTGTTGACACTTCCAATTTATGGATTCATAGTTCTGACGTGTGGATTAATTAAGTGCATTAAGTTTTTTGAAAGGAGTATCATTTTAAGATAAATGAGCATACAAGGCAATAATTAAGTAAAGAAAATTCTTTCTTAATAGTTAGCGGCAATAAGAAAAATTGTTAAAAGGTCATTGTTATAGCAATTATATGAACTTTTATCGATAGTAGTAAAAGCTATTAAATAAATGAATAAAGGTGAATTCAAGGATAACTTTAGTGGCCATTATATTTGTTGCCAAAAGGGGTTCTCTTTACCGGTTTTAAATTGAGTTTTAGTGGCAATAATAAAAGATGCAAAAGGTAGGGCCTATGAAATTTTTATTGAGTTGTAGTGCCCATTATAATTGCCAGCAATATTTGTCGCTACAACTAACGGACCTTTATTGGCCATAACAGGGGCCTTTACTAGCATTTAGATAAATGGTCGCTAAAGGCTTTTCCAACGCCGACTACAATGGCTAATAACTAATTGCCGGTAAATGTTTTGGCGGCCATTTTTATTGCCGCTATAAAGTATTTAATTGCCACTAAAAACCTTTTTTGTTGTAGTGTCAGTTGATGTCCAGCTAGAAGTCCTTGGCGCAGGACAAGAAGATTGAGGAGCTCCAGTCCCAGTTGAATTCGGTCATTTCTGATCGAGAAAGTCTGGCCACGGAGCTTGAAGCGACCAAGTCGGAGGCCAAAGTAATTAAGGCCAATGTCGATGAGATGGTGGCCGTTTATAAGGCCGATGCCTAGGCGGCTCAGGTTCGAGCAAAAGACATTACTGAGCATGCTAAATGGCAATCTTGAACTGAGGCCCTTGAGGATATTCATGCTCGGGGTTTCGACCTATCAGCTGAGATCGAGAACGTCAAAGATATTGAACCTGAGGCTAAAAAATGGTCTCTCCCGAAGATGATGAGGAGCCGAAGATTTGGGAGAGTCCGAGGATAGCGAAGATCCCGATGGTGCCAATGGTGCCCCTAGTGAAAGCTAGGCCACTTAGGGCTTTCTAGATATTTCTCTTTTTTGAAGGCCATTTTGGCCGTTGTATAATTCTGTATCGGGGCCATTTTGGCCCCTGTAAAAAGAATTTTGGATAATATATAAGGCTTTCTTTCCCTTTCAGCTTTCGAATTTTTCCTTTGCTTTATTATTTGTGTTCACAAAGATCGAAATGTCTTAGCATAAAATAATTTAGATTATATTCGAAGGTTCAAACAATCCTTGCCTTTACATTATTTTGTTTCAAGGCGGTGTGACCGAAAACTTTCTCCTAAAATATGTAATTCGGATTGTAGTTTGTCGAGGATAGCTTTTAGAACCGGTTATGAAAATTTTTTCTTTTTGAAGGCCTGGTTTTTGTTACGGGTCTCGGACGTCTCCGAACCATGCTATTATAGCTGTAGCTATTTAGTTTGGGAGTCGCCCAGTAGACTTGCTTTCCCGAGTTATCCTTGCCCAAGATAACATCCCCTGAGTGGAGGTGGCCTTGACCTTTTAAAACTCAAGGTTTGCCTAATAGGTCTTATGCCCTCGAGGTCTAATAACTTTGACCGTCCGAATTTGTTTTCGTACGGCAGTCCCCGAGTGAGAGAGTGATCGTTCGAACTCAGGCTAAAGCGGCCCTGGGGCTCGTTACCTTTAGGGGATTGGAAGCAGGGTTCCTTAAGGAATGTATAGAATAAAGTTTTAAAGGTCAAGATGATTGCAAGGAAGAGACTTCTCTTTATTCTTGTGCATAATAATAACATGTGGGTACATGCTTTGTGTCAGGGTTCGAGCAGCCTATGTGGGCACGGTTTGCTTGACCATTTGGCCCTTACAATAAATACTACCTATTGAGACCCTTCCATCATGATGTAATTTCCTTTCTAAAGACGATATCTGAGGGTAATGCCTCAAGTATTTGAGGTTGATCATAGAGAGAAGCCTCAGATATTGTTGATGCGATCCTTAACACCAATTCATGACTAAGTTAGCACGATTCACTGTTGCCTCATTAAAAACCTTGCCGGAAAATCCATTTGGGACAAAACCGATTTAAGGGAAAAAGAGTGTAACACATGCTTTCAGACCTAAAAGTTCGTACTATTCCTTGTTGGTCACCGACAAGTATTAGTCAGAAATATAAATAAAAGAAAATAAATGGGGTCGTACCTTAGCAGTAATATCATTTTAGGTGAGTTATCTTCCAATTGCTCGGTAGTTGTTCATCGTTCATCGTTTCGAGCTTGTAGCATCCTTTTATGGTGATTTCGATGATATGATATGGTCCTTCCCAGTTCAGTCCCAACTTTTCCTCGCTCGGGTTTCGGGTGTTCGGCGTGACCTTCCTTAGCACTAAGTCTCTGATGTTGAGTATCAAAGGTTGGCCCTTCTATTGTAATATCTCTTGATCTGTTGCTTTTTGGCAACTAACCGAACAAGGTCGGCTTCCCGTCATTTGATTCCTTTGTTGCATATTGGAATCCGATACTTGGCTCTCCGACTGGTATTAGAGCTTCGGCGCCATAAACCAATAAGAATGAGGTGACCCCGATACTAAACTTTGAGGTCGTACAGTATGCCATGACTTCGGGTAGGATTTTCTTCCACTTTCCTTTGGCGTCAGTTAACTTCTTTTTGAGGTTTTGGAGTATGGTTTTGTTGGTCGATTCGGCTTGTCCGTTCCCACTAGGGTGATAAGGTGTTGACAGGATCCGTTTGATCTTATGATCCTCGAGAAACTTGGTCACTTTGTTGCCGATAAATTATTTTCCATTGTCACATATGATTTTGGATGACATTCTGAACCGACATATGATGTGTCCCAAATGAAGTCGATGACTTCCTTCTCCCTAACCTTCTCGTACGCCTGTTCTTCAATCCACTTAGAAAAATAGTCAGTCATAAATAATATAAACTAAGCCTTACCGGGTGCCCATGGAAGAGAGCCAACTATGTCCATTCCCCTTTCATGAATGGCCATGGTGATAAGATTGAATGCAGCAATTCCTCAGATTGGTGAATCATCGATTCTTTTGGATCCGAGAGCAGTTCCGGTCTTCAAATATTCTACATATTTGTTTCTCCTATCCCAAGTCAAGCTTGTGGAATTTATTTCGGCGTGACCTTCTTCTACTACCGATCTCATGAGCTATACGACTGCCCCCAAGTTGAGCTCGTTGTCATCGACCGACGACCCTAATTTTGCAAGGGCATCAACCTCGCTATTTGATCTCGAGGTACGTGTTGCAAAGTCCACTCTTTGAACTGATATAATGTTACCTGCAACTTGTCTATGTACCTTTGCATTTGTTCTTCTCTGACTTCGAACGTTCCATTAACTTGGTTCACCACAAGGAGGGAGTCGCACTTACCTTCGATCACTTCTGCCCCCAAGCTTTTGGCTAGTTTGAGACCTGTAATCATGGCCTTATATTCGGCCTTGTTTTTAGTCAATTTCACAATTCTAATGGATTGTCTAACTACATTGCATGTGGATGGCTTCAGTATGTTGCCAAGTCCGGACCCCTTTGCGTTTGAGACACCATCAGTAAAGAGGGTCTAGATTCTCGAAGATGTCCCCGAGTTTAACAACAACTCTCTTTCGACCTCGGGTATTAGGGCCGGCATAAAGTCAACCATGCAATCTACCAAAATTTGAGACTTAATGGTTGTCCCGGGTCGATACTCAATATCGTACCCGCTGATTTCCACGACTCATTTGGCCAATCGTCCCAAGAGTTCGGGTTTATGCATTATATTTCGCAATGGGTAAGTTGTCACAATACATATAGGATGGCACTGAAAAACAGTTTTAGTTTCCTAGAGACACTTAGCAAAACGAGCACCTTTTTTTCTAGGTGAGGGTATCTAGTTGAGGCCTCACCTAGGGTCCTGCTAACGTAATAAATTGGAAATTGCGTACCTTGTTCTTCCCAAACAAGGACTCCATATACTGCTATCTCTGATACTGCCAAGTACAAGTATAGTTGTTCGTCTTCCCTTGGCGTGTGAAGCAGTGTCAAGCTCGATATATACTACTTAAGTTCTTCGAAGGCCCGTTCGGATTCTAGGGTCCATGTGAAGTTGTTTCTCTTCTTTAGTAACGAGAAAAATCGGTGGCACTTACAGGAGGACCTCGAGATAAATCGCCCCAGGGCGGCAATGCACCCGGTTAGCCTTTACACAATCTTCACGTTGTCCAATACCGTGATATGCTCGATAGCTTTGATCTTGTTAGGTTTGATCTCGATTCCTCGATTGGATACTATGAACCCAAGAAATTTTCCAGATCTAACTCCGAACGCATATTTTTCCGGATTCAGCTTCATGTTGTACTTCTTCAATATACTGAAGTTTTCTTGCAAATGCTTTAAATGGTCCTCTGCTCGCAGGGACTTAGCCAACATATCGTCAATGTAAACTGTCACGACCCAAACTGGAGGGTCATGACTAACACCCAGGCCATATTTGCCGAGCACCAATGTACATTTTATCTAACCTTCCTTATTATCTTTAAGGGTCGACGAGATCAATATAAATGGTAGACATGGATCATGAACAACCAACAATGAAAGATAATGGCATGAACATATATAACATGAGATGAACAGACAGCCAAGAAACTATATACAAGGTATGAGCTACCACGCTGCCATGAAAGACTATACAACAAAACTCAGCTGACAAGGCATACCAAACTATACATGAGTCGACACCTGTCTATGAGCCTCTAAAGGAACATAAGTGCTGCAACATTGCCGTAACAGGGCCCCGACATATCCATAATATCTATAACAAAAATGCATACCAAGACCACGGTAAGTCCGGAGAAGGGATCTCGCCAATAACCGCTGAACTGGGCAGCCTACTATGGCGGGGGAGCTATATCTACCCATCTATCAGGACCTGCAGAACAACATGCATCATCCACAAATAAAAAGGACATCAGTACGAATAAAGCATTGAGTATGTAAGGCATGAAAGCATAAATAGAAGCAGTAATGTAAATAGGGATAGAGAATATACAACCTGTAACATCTGGGTACCTGTAAGAGCTACTGACATGAAATGCATGATACATACATATATATACATAAGCTTATAAAACATACGCCTTTGTGGGCATCATCATAGCGTACCCGACCGTAATAGGCTGGGTAAAAATGTACCTTGCCATCATAAGGCTTGGTAGAATCGTACCCGGCCATGTGGAGCTCAGTAAAATCCAACTGATCAGTGGTTGCACAATAGGTGCCGTACCCGGCCGTCTATAGCGCGGCTCGGTAGAGTAAAATAGATACATATATATAATGCATGTTGGACTCATTGGAATAATATTCTGAACCTTTCGGGGTGACCTAACGTCGGTATCCTCTGGAGATGCTATTAGGGCTAACCCTTCATCATAAATCTTATAATAATCAAGAAGTACCAACAACATTGATAACATAAGAATAAGAGAAGAAACATCAACATCAATCGCTCTATAAGAAGGGAAACAATGTAAGTACTGCTAGCTTCTAAGAGTAGAGTATCTTTGGAAGGCCGTTCATTACATTATGTACAATCGGAGTCGTGAAAAAGAAGGTAAGGGATAGCCTCACATACCTTGTATATACTGCCCAACCTCAAGCTATGCAAATTTCACGACTCTTTAGTCTACAATAAGAGAAATGACACTATATTTATTGTTTAGGTGTAACGACCCGACCTATCGTTAAAAGAATTAGCATCTTGTTCAATGGCTTAAGACCTCGAGGAGCTTCATAATACACATTATGACATGCATGTATGGTCAAGTTTGATTTTTCGTAAGATTCAGAGTTAAATTTAAAAAAAAATCAAAAAACTTATTTTTTTGAAGCTCAAATGGAAAGAGTTGCCCGAAGAGTTTACTTTCGAGCAAATGACCCCAAATTGGAATTTTAATGATGTAAATAGATTTTTATGGTGTACTTAGACGTGTGTCCAAATTTGGATTTGGAATTCCATAGGATAATTCGGCGCATTTTAGCGAAATAAGATAGTTGATGTGTTTTAATTATATTATTTAGTATGTGGAAGAGGTTTATTAACATGATGGATGGCAAATGGATATGATAGCAAGTGT